GTGATGTATAACGGTGATTATCACACTCATCTCACATGATAATCACACCCATCTCACATGATTATCACACTCATATCACATGATTACACAAAAAATTTAACTTATCAACCAAAACGATAACCCAAGTGATGTATAACGGTGATTATCACACCCATATCACATGATTACACCGAAAAATTTAACTTATCAACCAAAACGATAACCCAAGTGATGTATAACGGTGATTATCACACCCATATCACATGATTATCACATTCATATCACATGATTATACCAAAATTTTAACTTATCAACCAAAACGATAAACCAAGTGATGTATAACGATGATTATAACATGATTATCACACTCATATCACATGATTACACCAAAGTTTTAACTTATCAACCAAAACGATAATCCAAGTGATGTATAACGGTGATTATCACAYCYCTATCACATGATTATCACACYCATATCACATGATTATCACATGATTAGGGTTGCTTGTTGCATGCAATTGCTTCTCGATTAGGGTTCTTGGTCGATTACGGTTGTGTGTTCTTGGTTGGTCACCCTCGATCAACACCGTCGCCGTCCGTAGTTCTTGCGATTTGAAGTTAGACTTGTAATCGTAACCGTTTTGTAGATGATAATGATAADTTTAAAAGATTTTGATTGTGTTTAATGATAAGTTTAAAAGATTCTAACCGTTTTCTAGATAATATATCATTTCCATTATTACGCTTTTCATTTTAAATTTTTATGAATCTTTTTAAATTTTAGTTTTAATTTTAAAAATCTTTTAATTTTATTTTTTTATCACAATATGTGGTTATTTAGTTGTTCTCGCGTTTTCGTAAATCACAGGGGTTCTCGTTTGAACCCTTCCCTATATATACATATATATATATATATATATATATATATATAAGACGATAAACAAATGAGAACCATAAAAATGTTATAATATTGTGAGAACGGACTTCAAATATTTTTTAACATTATTTTTCTATCAAAATCTATTATTTAACATATTGTTTCACATATGTTTGTGTTCATCTTATTAAAAAATAGCACGTAAAACTTTTTTTTATTCACTTAGTGAAACAAAAAATACACATAAAAAAATATTTATATAGTGAAACAAATATATGTGAAACTATCACATTATGAAACAAATATATGTGAAACAATGTCTTAAATCCTAACATTTGATTAAAAAAATCATGTACAATTTTATTTTTTGATCGGTACTTAGAGGGTTTGAAAGGTTTTTGTGGTTATCATTTGAAAGGTTTTTGTGGTATTTATACTTATGTTCAATAGGACTAAAAATGAAAGAAAACATCTAATTGGGGGTGAAAAGTGTAAAGTTGGCCAAAGTATTGAAGCCAGGGGCCAAGTGTCATTTTCTGAAAGTGTAGGGGCATTATCAGATAGCAAATTTCTCATACATGAGAGACCTGTTATGACAAAAGAACATATCTGATTTATTTTCAGAAATTTGAAAACAACAACTCCTTTGAAACCTCTTTATTGGTTTGAATTTTCAACTATTAAGACAAGAAAAAGTTTCAGATGTACGTAGCCAATATTTTTCTCTACACTTTTGCTTCAAGAAGATCACTATTTTGTCAAGTTTTTGGAGAGAAATAGGTTGAAGTTCGAGTTCGAAAAGCTCCGTTTATTGACGAATGGAGGTAAAATATTACTTTTTCTACTAATTTTGAGTGATTTTCGAATCCAATCTTTAACTGAGCAAATGACACTCAATATTTGATGGTTTGCGTTGATTTTTGTTCCTGTAGTTAAGGAAAATAATTTTCTAGAGGTTTTGCAAAAATAATCATCAAAAATGGCCAAAAAAGCAAGTGAGAGTGGATGAAAAACCCAACAGTCATGATTCCCCGACCCGATGGGGACCCCGACTCAGTCGACCCGAACGGGGATTCCCCGCTAAAACGGGTTCTGGAGTCGGGGATCCCTTGTAGACTCAAACCGGGGCTGGGGCTGTTACTCAAACTAGGGATCCCTGGTAGAATCAAACTAATGAATATTCTTCATGGGGTTTGACCAGGGATGAGATTTTAATCCTTCTACCCGCCAGAGGCTGGGTCGGGGATTACAAAACCCGCCTCATCCCCGCCTTGTTGCCATGCCTATGGAACGCGTTGCGCTAAGGCACGACTGGGCCAGCAAGACCAGACTAGATGTTCTGGGCTACTTTTTGCAATTTCTGTTGGGCCGTTCTTTTATTTATTGTCTGCGCCATATCAGATTTGTTAAATAAGGTCTAACAACAATTATTTTAGACTTAGATTGGTTAAGATATAATTATTAATATTATGTTAATTAATTAATTAATTTAGCTTCTAAATTAATTAAAATTATTATTTAATTAATATATTCATTTATTTTAGAATAAT